GGCCTCCTTTTTGTTTTTTATCTAAGTTTTAAGTTCTTGTGTAATTTCATCAGAAAGTCTCTTCTGATTTGGAAAAGAAGGCCAGTTGATTACAATTTCATTAATTAGTTATTGATAAATATATTTCAAAGATCATCTCCATCTTTATTTGTTTTCTGCACTCGTCAGTGATTTCACACTTAGACTTTGTTCTAAGTGTTGTATCTTTCTGATAAAATTTATTTTATATTTGTCATTAAATTTACTGTAAACAGTTTGTCCATTTCTAGGGATGATACCTTTCAGAGAAGTTTATACTGTATAAAGGCAAGTCTGTAACAGAGAAACTAGATTGCCTCTCAGGATTAAAAACCAGTAAGAAAGGGAACAAGTAATTGTATTCTTTTTCTTCCCTTTGAACTATATAATTGAGAATAGCACCCTGACTCATGGAGTGATTGACCACAGGCTAGTCTTTTCAAAAGAAATACTTTTTGAAAATATGCTGCTAACAAGTGCCTTGTTTAGGTATTGGAGAACCTGCAGCCATGTTTTTTACTTTCCTATTCTTTGTCCTTAATGTAATTTGTATAAGTGACACTAATGTAAGAGGGAGGCCCCCTCTTTAAGGAGACCTTTGTCCTTTTAAAATTATAACTGAGTTGGTTAAATCATTATTAGGATATTAGCTTAGTTACCTTCTTATTGCTGGGACAAAATACTCACTATCCACATGTTAGTTCACAGTCTGTAGTTTGAGGTCCACTTGGCTGGCTTAGGCCAAGGCACCTGAAGGAGGGGCCTGGTAAAGGAGAAACAGTTCATGCCATGGCAGGCAGGAGCCAGCAGAGTTTCCATCTTCTTATCCATCCAGGTTATAAGCCTGGTTGATAGGTTGGTGCCACCTACACTGAGGGTGGGTCTTCTCTCTTCTATCAGTCTTCCACCCAAACCCAGGAGAACTATGCCAGTGGACTAATGATCCAGTATTACCCATGATCCAGTCACACTCAGACACCCTACCTATTAGTGCTTGAGGCTTTGGGGGGGGACGACATCCAGATAGATATGAGCCATAACATTTCATCTTGGATGGAAAATGTGTCCTGCACATCCCTTTATGCAGAATACATTTACTCCATCTCTCTGAGTTGCCTAAGTCCTAACACTTTGATCACTGCAGAGAAATCCCAAGTTCAAAGTTTCCCATGAGATTTAAGATGAACTCTTGGCAATGAGTCACTATAAAAATGAAAAGAAAGTTAAACACTTCCAACATTCAGTGATATAATATAAACATTCCCATTCCAAAACCCAGCCAGGCCAACATTAAGTGCAGTAGTTCTATGTCCAGCATCTGGTACAATCTGTGTAAAGATGTAAACTGCAAAAAAGCCTTGGGTCACTCGGCTCCTACTGCGCTCCTAGCAGTTGTTGCCCTCACAGATTCTCTCTTGGGCCTGTTTTGCTCACTCCATGCATCTTTCTTTAGACCATCCATGTTCCTGGCTTCTCTGATTTTCTGAGATCTCTGTTTTACCTTCAGCATTATAATTACAGCCACACACACCACCCTCTCAGGAGCACCCTACCTCCCAACCATTTCTCTGAAATCTGGGCAGAATCCTTCATGACTCCACAACTCTTGCATTCTGCATGCACTTAAAACCAGTGCCACATGGATGACACCAAAGTTTGCCACCCCCTAGAGCAGTAGCAAGGCTTTTGGGTTTAGTACCTGGCTTGCTGTGTTTAAATCTAATTGTGAGGAACATTGCCTAGGCCACTGCCATTCTAGAATATGGTGTCCTCGAGTTGTAATCTCAAAGTAAAGTCTTTCACTTTTGCAATTTTGAGGCTTTAGAGAATATAGTTCTGCTGGTTCTTATGATATCCTCAAGGTTATCTATTTTCCACTTTCAAAGTGCTTTTTAAATGCTAATATTTTCATCTGTCTAATTTTCCTTTGGTTCATCTTTGTAACTTTACATGAGCTTCCTTTAAAGCCAAATTGAAAAATTTTTTAAATCATTTCTGCTCAATCATTTATTGCTCAGTCATTTATTCACAACATAGATCTGGCTAAAAGCCCCCAAAATTAGCCATACTACTGCCTCAGTATTAGACTGCCTTGAAATTTCTTCTACCAATTAATTAGTCTGTGGCAGTTAAATTTAGCCTCCTGCAAAGATGAGCTTTCTGACAAAACATAACAAAAATGGCTTAGAGTCCACCTGCCAGTGTAATCCCTGTTCCTAACTGCAGTCTCCTGAGTCTGCTTCTGGCTCTGTTTTATCAGCATTGTGGTCTTCTCAGCTCTGACCAAAATTTCCCATCAAGCTCTGCTCACAGCATTCTATGGCTGCTTGTCCAGCCTGTGTCTCTAGACCTTTTTGATTTCTTTTTAATAATGTTGCCAGGGTAGCATCATAGCAATGACCCCTCTTCTCTCAGACTCAAATTATTAGCCCTGCTGTTGGGACTTTATGGGCTCTTTATTACAAATTAAATTTTTTTTTTTTCTAGGGTTGTTGTCAGTTGAGAGTGAACAAGCACAGCTGGAAGAATTTGTTCTTCCACATTTCCCCATAATACCACCTAACTGGACAATAAACCATAGGGTGATTTTTCAAAATGCTCATAATGTAAACCTGACCCTCAAAATAAGCCCCAGTTAAGATTGACAACCAAATGGACACATTATAGACATACTGAGTTATAAAATAATATTAATATATAAGTATTATTGGCATTACTACTTAACATAAATGGTAATTATTTGTGAATACCCAAGTGGGTGCTTTAGGATAAGAAGTAAACACCTATGTAAACTTATTGCCAAATGACCAATTGGTGTATAAATACAACACACAAATAATGTACACTTGATAATGCATGAATGTAGTTGTGTCTAATAGGAATCTTCATAATTCAACATGCTGTGTCATAACAGACATACTTAATGCACACTCATGGAAATAAACATTTTCTGAGGGTTGGTGCTTGCAATTTTTGTCACTTTTGTGTGGACCATCATTCTCAACTAGCATTTTTTGGTGCCACACTTGTCTTAACATTTGATTTAATGGAATCTTTGTGAAGCCTAGCCTCAAGAGGTTATGGTTTAGGTGAAGTCTTCATGAGATAAGACCACTGACAGCTGTGTTGCGTGTATTCATTTAAGGTGAACTCTTGCTGAACATGAGACATTGGGGCCAGTGGTTCTATAGGAAATGGAGTTGCAAGAAATTCAGACAAGAATTTGGGGTTTGAAGTTACGATGCTGTTCCAGAAGAAGGTGAAATGACTGTATTTGAATAAATGTAGATTTTTTTTGTGCACAAGTAAATTTACATCGTTGTATTATGCATGTCATACGTGATAACATAAGACATCCTCTGAAGATAAGCCCTGTTTTGACTTTAGGAGTAAAAATTAATATAAGACCTGGCCTTATTTTTAGGGTAATACACTTGCTGGGGCATTGACTCAGATTTCATAAGTTTCTGCAGAGCATTATGGTGGATATAGGGAGCACTTAGCTTTCTCTCAGTAAAGCTGTGTTCTGTTGGGAGAAATTGTAGAGACAGGAAACTTGTGATGGCTGAGCACTTAACTGTGTGCCAGGTAGCATGCTACTTGCTGTAATCTTCAGTCCTTAAAACATGTTTACTTTTATTTTATAATTGAGAATGTTTGAGTTTCCTAGTCATTAAATAACTCAGTCAAGGACTCAACTGTGGTATTAACCTGGATTGTGTTTCTTTTGCCCTGCAAACCCCCAGGGTGGACAGGCATGGGGCCAGCAGTGGGTGAGGGTTGAGGGGTGAGCTTGGCCTCTGGTTCCACTGGAGCCCAAGTCCCTGTATTTGAATGTCAGTTCTGTCTTGGTAAGCAATTGCCACAGGATGCTAACTTCTGGGATTCAGATTTCTTTTTCCTGCTTATCCATCCCTTTCTTTCTGAACTATTTATCATACCTGTTGTGAGATCAAAGAAAAATTATTAACATTACACTGTTTGGATGGCACAGTGCCTCTGGAAGAAGAGGTGGCAGAGCCCAGGAAAGTTGTGTGATTACAGTCAATGTAATTAATCCTGGACGTTCTTTTTTTCCTTATTTAGTGGTGATGATGATAGTACCCAACTCTTATTTAGGGAAATCAAATGCAAAATTCTTAGTACTTGATATATGTGGTAATAAACATTAATGTGTGCTAATTATAAAAATTGTTAGTTTTCTTATTAGATAATACCTAATTTTCAGGTTTAGGAACTTTGTTAATCTTTTCAGATTTGCTAGAATTCTTTAGACATACTCCTGTATCACCCAAATTTATGATTTATGTGAATAACTATACAGAAGGTTGCTTTATCATGGTGATGGTCTACTTACAATATATTTAGATACTTCTATGTGATGCCAAACTAAGTAATTACTAACATTTATGTAGCACAAATGAAATCAAAGTGATTTTATAGGACACTTTATGCTTGGTGGGACCTGGGGAATGTTTCACAAAAACATTAATACTTTCTAGATACATGAATGGTGCTTTAGCTCCCTTGGGGTTTGCCTGCCCCCCCCCTTAGCATATTATACAAGGTGAGTACCTAAATCATATTAGTAACAGATTTATACTTGCATTTTCCTATTTGGCTGTAGAAATTTATATGCAGGGAATCCTGGTGAGGACACTGAATAGATTTATTTCCATCTGATCCTCTGTGCTGTGATCCATGTAATCTTTTCTTTGGATGGTAGAGGGCATTCCCTTCCACCTTTCCTAGCTACAGTGGATGTGTCTACCTTTGGCTCCTTGATAATCTGGTAGTTTGGGGTTATTTGTTGACAATTCAGAGAGAAACTTGTACAAACTTAGATAATAAATGACAAGAATGAACACCTATCTTAGTTTCTGAGATGTTTATATAATGAAATTTTTTAAAATTGATGGGTAACATTTTTTTCCAATTTATTATGGCTGTCAAAATGAATCTCTTGTTTTGCTTTCTTTTAGGATCTGGAGTTCCATGGAGTGATGAGATTTTATTTTCAAGATAAAGCTGCTGGAAACTTTGCAACAAAATGTATCCGGGTCTCTAGTACTGCAACCACTCAGGATGTGATTGAGACCCTGGCAGAGAAATTCCGCCCTGATATGCGCATGCTGTCTTCACCCAAATATTCACTCTATGAAGTTCACGTCAGTGGGGGTTAGTGTATATAGGCAGGGTTTACTGGACTGTGTCCTGCAGCAGATGACCTGTCTAGGAGCATATTAGGCACGTTGATGGTTTATTCCCATCTCCATTTTTACACAAGCTGGAGAGTAGTTGGCATGTGGTCAGAACTTTATGTTTGAGAACAGTGTTTATTCAGATTCTTAGCACATGTGTTTATTGGAAGTTAGAATGATTCTGTAAGTGTAACATATTCTTTTGCCAAAGTAAGAAGCATGGCATTGTATAATTAAAATTATCTACCAGGCATAGCACACTGTGTAATCTCAGCACTTAGGCTGAGACAGGATCGTGCCGTAAGTTCAAGTGCAGCTTGGTTTACATAGCAAGACTATCTCAAAAACTTTTTTTGTCTGACATATTGGAGTATCACATAAACCAGTGATAAGCTAATTGCATCTGTCTGTCTATCTATATATCTATCCAGCCGGCCAGCCCTGCCCTGAGTGTGGCATTGGCAGAGCATGTGGTGCCATGGATCAAACCGCTGTCCATTGTGCCTGCCTAAGCTTATCTAAGGAGACACTTTAGGCCACTGTTGAGCCAACCCTAAACTAACTGCTTTTAGAGAAATATTTTACATACACAATATTATAAGTACTAGTAACACAGTTAAATGTTATTTGGGTATATGCCATTGATCTTGCTGTTGTGTTTTTGCTTTCTGAAAGAGCACATTTTTATTGTTTGGGAATAATTAAGACCTCATAAGGAAAATCTTCCTTATATAGTTAGTAATTTCTTCTTTGTTTAACATTGGGAATTTCTGAAAGAATCTTGTATAGCTGTATAAAATGATAACTCCAATCGGACTGAATAGAAATATAGAAATCTATATAAATTGATACAGGTGCTTTGGAAATGTTGAATAACTTGTGTAAAAAATACCAATTATAGTAGTATAGCAAATAAAGGGTTCTGTAAGGGAGAGCAGACCCTGTCTACATACCTCTTAAATTTTATGCACACACGTCTTTGGACTACAAATATACAGCTTTCTTTGTACATTTGAAATTTGTTTATAATGTGTGGGAATTTCAGATGTAATGAACCTTTTTTTTCAGTGGGACATAAGGCAAATTTGTTTATTACATTTTTTAAGGCTACAGGAACATGCCCAGCATAAATTCCCAAACTAAAATTGACAACAAAGGACATTATCAATTTGGAATAATCACCCCTCCCATTTTCCCTCTAATTTTTTCTGACCCCTTTTCTGTCTGTTGCTGTTTGAGTAGTTGAATAAAGTGAAGTCTTCAGAATACTAGCATATAAGATTGTTTTGAGATCTAAAAATTACTGTGATTTTTAAAGGAATGTTCCTTTAAATTTTCTACTAGATTTTTTTTTTTTTTTTTTTTTGCGATACCGGGGATTGAACTCAGGACCCTGTGCTTGCCAGGCAGGTGCTTATTCTTCTGAGCTATCTCCCCAGCCCTAGAATTTTTTAAAGTTAAAAAGTAAATAGATTATTTGTAATAGTTAAACAAAGCTGAACTATTTAGAGAAAAAGGCAGTGGTGTGCCCTCAAGTCCCCTTGCTCGCTTCTGTGTATAGAGCAGTGATGTCCCCACCTCTGCTCAGACGTAGGAATCTGAGCATATAGGCTCTCTGCCCTCTCTGGAGGTTCTTTATTGACCTCAGTGTCTGAATGACTTAAATGGCACCACCAGGCCAAAGGAAATACGTAAATTCAGAAAATTGGTGAATATTTAACAACTAACAATCTGAAATAGATGTGTGACAATAATGCTGTGCATAAAGTGAAAGGAAATTAAAAGTTGTTTCATTTCTTTTTTTTTTTTATTTTATTTGTGTGTGTGTGTGTGTGTGTGTGTGTGGCCAGCTCAGCCCACCAGGGGGCGGGGCTGGCTGGCATGTGGTGCTGGAGGATTGAACTGTGGTCCCTGTGCTTTGCTAAGCTTGTTCTAAGTAGGTGCTTTAGACCACTGAGCCATCTCACCAGCCCCTAAAAGTTGTTTCATTTCTGATGAGGACTGTATTGTTGTAAGTGTGCCGCATGACCCTGCCATGCTCTGTAGAGCCCAGGTGGTCCCTTCTCATTCATGTTGATTTTTTTATGACAGGGCCATGTAATGTGGGCAGAAGGTATATTGTGCTGTCCACTGGGGCCCACGAGCCTCCTAGAGTCAGGTTCCCACTGTGTCTGGCAGATGCACTCTCCAACATTTATTTTAGTGTTCTTCAGCAGTGTGTATTCACAGGGTGACGCAGCATGTCTGCCTGTCAACTTTCATGAGCAAAAGTAGTGGCTAGACTTGTACTTCAGCCACCAGCAAAGCAGAATATTATACTACTTTTTAAAATGTATGAAACTAACCAGGCTTGGTGGCACCTGCCTACAATTCCAGTGCTTGGAAGGATGAGGGAGACAGATTGCCATGAATTTAAGGCCAGCCTGGGCTATATAGTGAGTTCAAGGCCTGGCTGGACCTACACGATGAGACGCTGTCTTTAAAAAAAGTACACACACACACACACACACACACACACACACACACATACACATAGTGAAATTACTAAGGCAGAAAGTCTTAATACGTAAAGTATTTCTAGAATTCTCTGTAACTTTGATCCTTTTAGCACAATGAATACTTAGCTGGACCCACTACTTGCTGTTTTTACTGACCTCTGCACTAGATCCAGTATAGTAGTACCTTGCTTCACGAACTTACTCTACAATTCTGGTTACAAAACAAATTGGAGGGGCTCTCTCTGGCATCATGACAGGTGGGGAGGAGGCAGAGGCCTTTTGGAGCTACATGAACAGTAACCTGGACCCAAATGAAGAGGGAGCTGCTTCTTTGGCGGAGGAAGCAGCCAAGAAAAAGAAGCAGCAGCAGAAGAGTAAAGGGGCTATTGCAGGGAAGCAAGAACCTGAGAAAGCATCAGGAACCTCCATGGATTAGGTAGCAAAACAGTTGGAAAGACAAGTGCTAGATGAGAGAGAGAGATGAGAAGGAGGATGATGGAGATGGACCAACTGGAAAGAAGAAGAAAGAGAAGAGAGGATCAAAATTTCAGATGGACCCTCCCTCGGTGCCCATCTGTGACTTGTACCCTAGCGGCATGTTCCCCAAGGGGCAGGAGTGTGAGTATCCACCCATGCAGGACAGGTGAACGGCTACTTAGAGAACTACAAGTGAAGAAAAGAAAGCATTAAATCAGGCTAGTGAAGTGATCTGGAATGAATTTCGAGAAGCTGCGAAAGTACATCAACAAGTTAGAAAATATGTTATGAGGTGGATCAAGCCTGAGATGACAATGATAGAAATCTGTGAGAAGTTGGAAGTCTGTTCTCACAAGCTCATAAAAGAACAGCTTGAATGCAAGCCTGGCCTTTCTGCCTGGGTATTCTCTCAATAGCTGCTGCTCGCTACACACCCAATGCAGGTGACATCACAGTATTACAGTACGATGACATCTGTAAGATCGACTTTGTAACTCATAGAAGTGGTAGGATAATTGACTGTGCTTTTACGGTCACTTTAATCTCAAATATGATATATTATTAAAAGCTGCAAAAGATGCCAGTAATACTGGAATAAAGTGTGCTGGCATTGACATCGGTCTGTGTGATGTGGGTGATGCCATCCAGGAGGTAATGGAATCCTATCAAGTGGAAATCGACGGGGAGACATACCAAGTGAAGTGATCCATAATCTGAATGAACACTCAGTTGGGCCATACAGAATACAGAAAGGGAAGACTGTGCCCATCGTGAAGGGCAGGGAGACGGTGTGGATGTAGGAAGGGGAAGTATATGCCCTTGATAGTACAGGAAAAGGTATTGTTCATGGCGACATGGAGTGTTCACATTACAAGAAAAAAGAACAAAACACTTACTAAATGTCATCAATGACTTTTCGGCACACTTGCCTTCTGCCGCTGATGGCTGAATCGCCTAGTGCATTTTTTTTTTTTTTTTTTTTTTTTTTTGCGGAACCGGGGATTGAACTCTGGTCCTTGCGCTTGCCAGAGAAGCACTTATTCCACTGAGCCATCTCCCCGGGCCCCCTGCCTAGTGCATTTTGAACGCACCATCCCACTGCATCCAACTTGTAAAGAAGTCAGCAGAGGAGAGGAGTATTAAACTTAGTTCAAAGCTACTCGACATCTTTATTTTCTAAGCTTTATTGGAATACATTGTACCAGAATCAACTTACAGCATGTTGTCTGTTTTAACAGTGGACCTGTGTAATACTTTATCCATATTTAAAAGAATTTGATTTTGATCAAAGGCAAACAATCCATCTAATGTAATTAACCAAGGAAAACACTGTCAGGACTTTAAATGTTAACTGTTTCCTCCCTGTCTAGGAAATGCCCAAGTTAGTTAGGAATTACGTACACATTTTGTTTGGATCGCCTCAGTCATGGTTTTTGGATATTTATATTGTCATATTCTTATGATGACTGACCATATCCATTTCTGCACCTATGCCCTCTGGTATTGCTTTTTAACCTTCCTGAAATTAATTTTTTTTTCTTTTTTTAAATATTTATTTATCTGATACAGAGTCTCACTAATGTAGTGATGCTCCTGTTTTGGCCTCCCCAGTGCTGGGACTACAGGAGTGTGTCACCAAGCCCAATTTCAGGTTGGCATGGTACACCAGAAGTTCCATGGCCGGGATGGCATGTGGTACCAGATATTGAACTTGGGTCCTTGGGCAGGCGCTTAGACTATTGAGCTATCGCCCCAGACCCCTGGAATTCATTTTCTAAAAAATAAAGACATTTTCAGATCTAAGAGCTAAAAAACCCAACAATAACAAAAGACAAATTGGAGGAAAACAATCGAATTCATTGGTTAGGTTCATTGTTGTCCATTTAGGGAAATTTGATTTGGTTCTCATCCAATTCAGTTTACTAGTATCATGGAACACAATTAAGTTCCTGAACTGAGGTGCATAATGACCAAGCTTGTCTTTGCCAATTCTAGTGGCCTCATTATCATCATTAGTGATTATGTTGTCATACATTGACCAGAAGAAGCTATTGCTCATTTAAAATTTAAATTTGTGCATGGCATTAGAAGTCTTTGATTGAGAAAGATGTGGTATTTTTACACAATGGAATATTATTCAGCTATTAAGAATGATAAACTGCAAGCCTTTATA